AGCTTAGTTATTATGATCCTGGGGCACCACTCTGGAGACTAGGCCTTCTGGCTCCTTTTCATTCCCAAAGGCAGCAGCAAACCCTTGCTGTTGCCTTCTCTTGGCCAGAGCAGCCCCAGATTTGAAAGTCTTCATAGACATCCAGGCCTTCAAGTACTTCCCTGTTGAGCTCCAACTGGCACTGAATTGACAATGAATACTGGGTACTTCAGGTCATGTTCCTGGGAAGCAGCTGTAATTTGATTAATCCCTTGGGCCCTCCCATTTTCCTCCTTCAACCTAAAGTCCAGGTGCATTTGACAAAGGCTCTGGTCACCACCCTACCACAGTTCTTCCTCCTCTAGAAGTGCTGCTACCTGTGCTTCAGCACCTCCTGGATCTGAAAGTAGCAGTATGTGGAGCCATTGCCAACCAGAGCCACATGGTGAGGAAGAGCCAGTGCATCCCCCACCCACTACCTACCACCACCACACTTAAACAAAACCTGCTATACAGTAGTACAGGCGTGCATTTCCACTGCTGGAGTCCTCCCCACCATTCCCTTTATCTCAAGCCCCACAGCCACTCTGTGAGCTCAGTGTTTAAGAAACAGCCAGAACCTGACCTCTTCTCTCCAAACTTCCTGTTGCTGCCGGGTCAAGCTGCCTTCCTTTGGCCTAGGATCACTGATGGTCTTGGTTGCTAATGGATCTCCCTGCTCCCATATCACCCCCTTCAGGCTGTTCTTAGCACAGGAGCTGAGTAAGCCTGTTAAGTGGGCTCCACCCACTGTCCACAAAGGTTCAGCCCAGACCTGGAAGAGACCCTTGACTCATTACACTTTCCTCAGGTCTTGGCTCACTTCCTGGACCCTCTCGCCAGCCCCACTTCCCCCTGCTCTCCTTCCTTGTTGCAGATTTCACCTCTTCCCAGGCTGAGGTGCTTCATACTTCAAACCCCCTGCCCCCAGGCTCCTCAGAGTGCACAGAAGGCAAGGGTTTCCTCTGGTTCTCCTGCCAGTGGAGCAGGCCTCTTCATGAGACATGACAGGATAGATAACAAACTTTCCTGTTTTGTTTTCCCCTTACTAAATTGAATCTAAACATCTCTCTTATTCTTCCTTTAATTAAAAAAAATTCTTAACTGGAATATTCCAGGGAAAGAAGATGGGAGAGGAAGACGATAGGAGTTACATTTCTGCTCCGTAGAAGAATCTGAATCCATTCTGATTACCGCCAGTGGTGCTTCTATGTGTGACTGCCCCCAGGGCACTGGCCTGTATACCTACACACCGCTTCTGTTTTGGCCCAAAGCCTACCTCAAGTCACACTGGTTCACCTGCCAGACTTATTTTACTGCATTAGCACAAACCTCTGAGACAGATTTGTCTTTTCTTTTTCAAGTTTGAAGTAAAAGCAATATTAATATACAAAAGAGTATTTAACCATTTGCAATGACACAAAAAGTTTACTTGCAGACTGGGAGTATAGTCCAATGGTAAAGGGCTTGCCTAACATACATGAGGGCCTGGCTTATATCTCCAGCTGCAAAAATATTAAAAAAAAAAAAAAAGAAAGTTCACTTCCTGATCCATATTTCTTTTTTCAAAGTTAGCCCTTGTTAATAGTGACTTATGCAGCCGTGAAGGGAATATATGCATCATTCCAGCAAAAATATATATCTATTAAAAATGGACTTGAAAGCTGGGGTCGTGGCTCAGCTGTTCAGCAGTACAGCACTTGCCTACCATGTGTGAGGCCCTGGGTTCAATTCTTAGCACCACATAAAAATAAATAAATAAAGGTATAAAATATGGACTTGAGCTGGACTTGATGGTGTACACCTGTAATCCTAGCAGCTCAGGAGGCTGAAGCAGAAAGACCGCAAGTTTGAGGCCAGTCTCAGCAACTTAGTGAGACCATGTTTCAAAAATAAAAAAGGGTTGGGGATATAGCTCAGTGGTTGAGTGCCCACAGTACCACACATACTTGACTTGAACAACAACAAAAAATCATAGTAACATATTGTTTTACAATTTATTAGCATAATTTGAAAATCTTTCCATGTCACTCCATCTAGATCTACCTTGTTTTTAGCAATTGCTTAGTATTGTATCTATGTGCTATGATGTCTACTAATCCTGTATCAACATGTATTGGCCTTGGTTTCTTTCCAGATTCTTGTTATGAAAGTGTTGCAGTAACATCCCTATCCATCTTGGCACATCTGCAGTCATACTTGTAGAATTCATTCCTTTGTAGGTTAAAGGGGCATGGGTGTTTAAATTTAAAAAAAAAAAAAAAAAAAAAAAACGTTTCTAGTTGTAGATAGACAGAATGCCTTTATTTTATTTATTTTTTTGTGGTGCTCATGATTGAACCCAGTGCCTCACATGTGCTAGGCAAGCACTCTACCACTGAGCTACAACCCCAATCCCAGTGTTTCTTTTCTTTTCTTTTTGGAAGAGGGGTACCAGGGATTGAACTCAGGGGCACTCAACCACTGAGCCACATTCCCAGCTCTATTTTGTGTTTTATTTAGAGACAAGGTCTCACTGAGTTTCTTAGCACCTCACTTTTACTGAGGCCGTCTTTGAACTCATGATCCTCCTGTCTCAGCCTCCCAAGTACTGACATTACAGGCATGCACCACCGCACCCGGCTAAATTTTTGATAGATATTATCAAGTTGATGTTTGAGTGCTTGTACTAGTTTATTCTTCTGGAGTATGTTTTTTACACCAACTTTTTATTTGGAAAAATATTAAACGTACTTTAAAGTCTAAATACTAATATAATAAATACTCAGAATCCTTTGTCTTGTCCAGTTATTGTATTATCAGCTGAATTATTTTGCTCAGACTGCCATAACAAAATATCACAGACTGGGTGGCTTAAACAATAGACTTTTATTTTCTCACAAGTCTGGAGACTGGAATGTGAAGGTGATAATCAGCCAGTTTGCTTTCTGCTGAGGCCTCTCTCCCTGGCTTGCAGATGGCCACCTTCTTACTATATCCTCACGTGTCTTTTCTTGACATCTGTGTCCTGATCTCCTGTTAAAAGGACACCTGTTGTTATTGAGTTAGGGCCCTCCCATATGACTTCATTTAACCTTAATTACCTCTTTAGAGACCCCCATCTCCGAGTACAGTCACATTCTGACATACTAGAGATTGTAGGACTTCAGCATATGATTTAGTCAGGCTTCAGCCCATAAGACCATATTTGTTCATCTTTCTCTTAGTATATGTATTGTATCTGATTGCTATAGTATATTATAAAATACATTTATATTTATGGCTTATAATTATGTATCATATTTTGTATATATAATGTATATAATCATGTCTACTGTGTAATTTCTTCCCTAAACCACTAGTAAGTAAATTGCAGCCATTCTGATACTTCAGCTTGTATCTCATGGAAATGAATAGCTGGGATTACTCCTGCCTTTGAGAGTCATTCAGGCCAGTAGAATCAGTTGGCCTCATCTCCAGATTCTTTGGCTTTGTTGAGGTTTTGAATCTGTGATGTGTCAAGGAGATGACAGACCTCCTTGCAATTCCACCTGCTTTTTTGGTCTCTATATCAACATTATCTAAACACCAGACTTGTTATTTTAATTCTCTGTACAGGCAGTCCTTGCTTTGCCAAATGTGAACTGCTTGTGTTTATTCAGAAAGTGGGGTTTATTGATTTGAGGGCTGTTCATCACCCTCCGCCTCCCATGGCCTCATTGGCAGCTCAGGACTCCACCAGAAGTTGATTCTTGCCTGCTACCAGTTGTAATGAGGCCTCTTCTGCGGGCTTACATCAGTGTCTCTTTCTTTCTTGGTACTTTTGTGTGGGAAAACATCACCAGGCGGCACTTTCTGTGTGTGTTTTGGTAGATAGAATCAATGTGGAAACACTTGCCAAGAGCTTCAGTGGGGGACATGTGGACTTAAAACTATTTCCTCTGGTTCAGATGGTTGTGTTGGCAGGCAACCCAGGGCCCGGGGGCAATTCTTCTGAGTCCTTTGCCAGCCGAGGCTGAGCAGGTTGGTGCTGAATGAGAATTCTACCTTCCTGACTCTCCTCTGCTGGAGTACCACTGCCTCCTGCTGTGAACACAACCAGCATCCTTGCTCTGTCCCTTCCACCCCAGGAAGCCCATCTTCTGTAGTTAGTAGAGCCACTTTCCTAAAACACAATTCCAGCATGTCTTTGAGTCTGCTTAGAACTCTTCCTTGGCTATTCCTTTCCTAGAGGATTTATTCCAGACCCCTTGGCCCTTCTCTCACATGGCTCCTGCTCAGTGTGTTCCCCTCCAGTCTGCTATTTTCCCAGCAGTATCAGTTATGCTGAATTGAAGCCAAGTTCAAGTATTCCAAACATACTCTGTCGTGCTCTGCCCTGTACCTGTGAGCTCATGGTGTTGCCTGTCCAGAATAGATCTTCTCTCCCTCCCTGGTAGCAAAACCTTACTTGGCTTCAGGACCTGGCTTGACTGTCTCCATTGGTGTGGCCTGTCCCAATGCCCATTCCTGTAGGCAGGCAGGGTTGGTTGTCCTTCAGCCTCAGACTCACCTCTTCTCTATCACTGGTTATGTGTCTGTCTTTCCTGGTTGCTAGTCAGCTGACTTTACATTTGCTTTCTCAATTCCTTGTTTGAAGTAGGCACTTGGTAAACATCTGGGTGAATTTATCCTTAGATCATTTCCCAAAGTTAGAAGCAATTAATTTCTACTTCATTGTTTCCAGTAATTGTCTGAGTGAGACTTGTCACAAAGAAGTAAATACAGTTTTGTACTTGCACTAAGAAGTCATTCTCGTTAGTATTCAGTTCTGAAGGGTCCTATGCTGGTCGTCAGCAATGCAAGGCCTCCGTGACTTTCACTGGTTTATTGTATATTGTCACATGTTAAAAGAGAAAGTGCTGAACTTAATAAACAATGAGCAGATTGATAACCCAACCTGTAGGTGCATTTTGTTTTGTGTTATTGCTTTGGAAAGCTACTGATGTCTTTCTTTCTTCCAGTCAAACGCTTCAGAGAACCAAAACATGAGAGACGTCCATGGAGAATATGGTATGTATTGAAACACTAGCTCATTCCTAAAATATTTTTGAGTGTGTTGGATTTTGGGAGGCAGGGTTGAGTCTGGTAGGGGATGAAATATGAGAAATTATACATAATAGTATCTGGACTTCCTCAGTTGAGTTATCATTGGGAACAGTGTGTGATATGAAAGCAGTCCTATTTTTCCACATGACTTTTGATCCCTACCTTTGTTTTATGATCACGCTGCTTCCAATGTTGGAAGATGAAAAATAATAACAGATGCATCAGTCTCTTCTCCAGATATCTTTGTCTCTGTCTACCTCTAGTTAGATAATGTTCAGAGTCTTGGATTCTACAGTCCATATGTTTAAGCAAAAAATAATCAAAATTTGGAGATTAGCTCTAACTACTCTCTTCAAAACTGGTCTTCCTTGGTCCTAGAATAAAGAAAAACTATTTCTCTACTCATAGTACTTTTAAAGCACAAAGAGTGTGTGGGGGGGGGTTCCCTAACACCAATCTATTTTCTAATTATCTAATACCAGCTGGGTGTGCAATAATAATTCTATTCTGACACACCTGGAGTTCGCACAGAGCCCACTGATTGAGGGCTTAGTCCCACATGACGGCTACCCAATTCCAGTGCCAATCAGGAGTGTGCATTCCCTTAAGAACTGACTAACTTCTGACTAACTTGACTATGAAGTTGGGGTTCCCCCAACCCCCTGTCAGTTTCAGTAATTTGCTAGAGCATCTCACAAAACTCAGGGAAACATTATTTACATTGACTGATTTATTATAAAGGATACAGATGAATGATTAGTTGAAGAGATATAGAGGGTAAGGTCTGGAAGTTTCCTGGACACAGGAGCTTCGGTCCCTTGGATTGCTGAGTGTGTATTTGTTCACTAGCCCTAAAGCACTCAGACCTCATAGTTTAACTGTTTATACACAGACTTCACCATGTAAGCATGATTAATTATTAACTCAATCTCTAGCTCCTCTCCTCTCCCTGAAAATTGGGGTTGGGCCTCAAAGTTCTAAGCTTCTCATCATGACTTGGTCTTTCTCATGACCTTCCCCATTCTGAAGCCATCCAGGAGCCACAAAAAGTCACCTGCTTAGAACAAAAGATGCTTCCATCATCCAGGAAATTCCAAAGGATTAGGAACCACATGACACAAACCAAATATTAGGATAAAAAATATTCCTAGCATCCCTGTCACTCAGTGTTAAGGAGCTATGTCAGGAACCAGGGGCAAAGACCAGTGTACTCCTTGTATATATATCCTAAAAATATTTATTTCATGTGGAATGAACTCACTGTAGCAGTATTTTATTTACAGTATGTAGTAAAGCTTCAGAAATAGATTCTAGGGACAAAACTCCAAGGCAATAAATCACTTGGAAGGAGACAGCCAGCTCTTTAAGACAGCAAGGTGTCCACAGGAAGCTGCCTTGGGCTGTCTTAGATTTGCTTTTGCCCTTACAAAACATCACTTTCTCTTCAAAGGAAACCTTGATGAGTCACTGAAATAAAGGCTTTTTACAAAATTTTAATCATGTACTCACTTGTTCTTATAGACATCACTGCTGAATGTTGATAATTCAAATTTTTTATACCCACCCACCATTGGTTCTCTCAAATCTGGGCTGGGGAGGGACCCAGCTCAGGGCTCTGTGTGTCCTGCTCTCTGTGTTGTTCTTTAGTGACTCTTCCCTGACACTGACCTTAGGAATGTTTCTCCAGCCTCCAGATAATTTCTGTGGTCCATTCATTTTCTCCAAATACCTTCCTGTCAGACTGGTCACAGGTATTGTTTCTGTCTTGTGCAGGTTTTTAGATACTTCCAAACAAGCCATAGGGATGCTGTTCATCCACTTTGCAAATGTGTACCTGGCAGATCTCACTGAAGAGGACCCTTGCTCACTGTAAGTGACCCATATTTGAGTGCAGGCATTGTCAGTCCTCCACTGAAAATGTGTGCTGGTCTTGCTTTCTGTGACCAGTCCTGCTCCTCCAGGGTGCAGAGGGGGTCACCATTTCTCCTCTACATTCCTCTGAGGGCCAATCCTGTGCATACCACCCATGAACTCACATACCCAGCCATCCATTGGTCATCAGGGCTTTGACAGTTGCCTGGTACACTGGCTTTCTTCTAATCAGTTCACAGTCCTCCTTTGGTTTTCTAGTGCCCTTCTGTCACCCAGCTTCCCAGCAACATGACCTGCAGGAATGTCTCTGTGCCAGAAAAGACAGAGAGGGGCTTCTCTGTGGTCTCAGACTGTTGACTATTATTGACCTCTTTGGCCTAAAGAACATGGGTTGTTCTGCCTTATCATTGGAAAAAAACCTTTCACACAGCCCCCAGGGCCATCTGTCTAAAACCTTAATTGGGCCCTGAAATGCTGACCTCCTTGCTGGTAGCACCTGAATGGTTCTCTTAGCAGATGGAGTAGGAAAGGAGGCTCACCTACTTCATCCCAGCCCCATCTCTTACCTTCTTTCATCCACAGAGCAGCTCTGCCATGTAGATACTGTGATTATCCCCACTTTCCAGTTGGGGAATTGAGACACAGAGAGATAATGGCACTTAAGTTCATGCAGTTCAGGAGTGATAGAGCTGGACTCAAATACATCCTGATTGGCTCCAGGGCCTGCATGACTCCCGCTGTCTGCCCTTCTCCCTTACATTGAGCATAGTGTAGAACTTGACCTTTATTCCCAAGGACAGCACATAGTAGGCTCAAGAAGTATTTGGCGAGTGAATGAATGACCAGAAGGCATGTGTGTGTATCAGTTATCCTTGTTGTTTTCAGGCTGGGTCTCAAATGTAAGGACTCAGGTGTGAGAGGCACTCGACACCAATTAGATCCGAGAGCCTTATAGCCTCACACCAGAGGAAAAATTGCCTTAGCAGCCAGCACTGTTCTTTCTGTCTCTGATCTGAGAGTGACCCCTTGTGACTTTAAAGAGGAAGGACAGGCAGGAGAAAAACACCACCCCCTCCCTCTCTAGGCTTATTTTCTGGCCCCTGGGGATAGGACACAGCATGTTCTGTCTGGGATCAGAGTGCTCTGCAAGCGCAAGCTGGGGTTGGAATGAAGGACCAGGAATCCTCATAAAGTGCCTCAAGCTGTGGCCGCTCAAAACACTGCAGCTAGGTTTCACAGTGTCCTGGGTTTATCTGCAGAGTTGTCAAAGCCATGCGGTATCACAGTGGGTCAGTACCTAATCCAGTGACCTTGTCTTCCACATAGTTTGCAACAGAGACCTGGGGCCTGTGGTCAGCAGGGCTCAACTGCATCTGGGTTTAGGGCCCTTGGGGGAGGGCAGGTGGGTCTTACCTTGGAGAGGGGAAAGGGTTTTGTGTCAGCTCGGTGGAAACAGATCTTAGCAGAACATGTGGTCACTGTGGGCATGCCTTTTGGTCCCGCCTTCTCCCTCCAGTCCTTTGGCCTTGTCCCAGGGGGTAAAACTCTCTCTAAAGCGTAAAAGTATTGTGTGTACATGTCTATACACAATGAGCAAGGGCCACATGATCCTGCCCTCTTTGCCTAAAAAACCCTGGAGACATTTTCTAGAACTGCCTTGAGGCAGCAGCACTGTCACAAGACCTTATGTTGGCTGGACCGGGGAGTTATCAGAATAATCAGAAGGACATTTTTTTTTTTTTTTTCTGTCTTCTGCTCAATCTTGGCCTGACAGGAACACTTTTTAAGCATTTCATCCCTCTCTTTTCCCTCCCTCAAGTTGTTGACTTTAGTAACTTGTCAAGGACCTGGAAGTGAGAGCTGCACGCAACCTTTGCAGCCTCTCACATGGGCACATTCAAGGCTACCAGCCCCTCCAAGAACAAGATCAGAAAAAAACACTGGGTCACTCAGCTTCTCAGGCTGTACCTCCATCAGCCTTGACTGCTAACTCTGGGAAACTCTGTACCTAGGGCCTAGCTCAGTGGCTTCTGATTGTGATTATGTGCCCTCTCCTCATAGGTACCTCATCAACTTCCTCCTGGACGCCACTGTGGGCATGCTGCTCATCTATGTGGGAGTGCGCGCTGTCAGTGTCTTGGTAGAGTGGCAGCAGTGGGAATCCCTGCGTTTTGGTGAATATGGTAATATGCCATGAACACTGGCTGGTGTGTGGTGGGAGCTGCTTGCCTACCAGTGAGGGATCCAGAGAAGATTTGGGAATGGATGGCCATCTGCTTTGTGTGGTGGAGGGGCTGGCTCTGGGGTTTAAGCATCATCCTCCTGGGTATGTGTGGGTGCCTACCTCACTGCTGAGGCTCTTGCCTTGGTGTCAGGAAAGGTGGCAGGAGGCAGGAGATACCCTAGATTCAGGGAGATCACTAATCTCTCCTACAAGTCTCTAAGACCACCTTATTTCTGCCAGACTTTTCATGGAGCTCACCCTGCCATGTTGGAGAAATGGGGTGGTCAGTAGGGAGGTGGAAGCCCTGCCCCTCTTTCTGCTGTACACCTGTGATTGTCTGGTCACCAGGCCATCCCACATGTGATGAGAGGCCCTATGTGAATGGTGCTCACATAGCCAGGTCTAGAAGGTCCGTCCCCCTGAGGCCAAATTGCCTTGCTTTCCCTCAACTGCTTGAGCCCCACCTAGCATTGCATGTACCAGTCACCAGAGTCACAAGTCCATCTTTACCCAGAGACAGCTTAAAACAGGTAACTTATGTCAGACTCTGATGGATACAGCCTGAGTAGCAAGCTGCCTTCATGTAGCCCCATGAAAGGGAGTGTTAGGACAGGACTAAGTGGTAACATCAGCTCTTTTCCCACTGGCCTTTCTATCTAGGCAGGAGCTCCTCTTCTCAGTTGGAGCAGCAGCATTGGAACCTTTGCCATGAGAGGGCATAAGGAATGGAGGGACAGAGGGAGTGTGGATGGAATACTGGATCTGCAGTCTCCCACAGATTCCAAAAAACTTATGGCTCTGGGCCCAGGGGCCACTAACTTCTAGATGGCTAGAAATCTCTAAGGGATTGACGGTTTAAAAGGGCAGCTTATTTATGGAGCTGGCTGTGAATGCCTCAGGTATTTCTAGAAATCTTAAGTAATTGTTTATCCCCATGAAGGGGAGATGAGCTCAGGGGAGGGCTTTTCTTAGCCCCAACACTTGATGCCTGATGAGTCACTGACTTAAGATAGTGTCCAGCACACAGCGTGTACCTCCTGGGGCTCCAGGAAAGGTTTCTGAGACTCCCCAAGTCATGGATTCCTCAACTTGCAGGCCAGAAATGGACCACGGTACATGTGGACTACTGTGGCATTATTATCCCTGTTTATAGATAAGGTGCCTAGAGGAGTCAAGTGGCGCACAAAGCATCCCTGGCTAGTACATGTTGGGGGCCTTTTGCCCTCAGCAAGATACACCAACCCTCCAGCCACCTCCATGATCAGTACTCATAACTACTTCCTTGCTGTTGAGATCCCTTCCAAAAGGCTCTCAACTAGCTGACCAGAGCTAAGGTGGATCCCCTCAATCAGCTGTGTGACCTGGGAGTGCAAGTCAGGTCTGATACAGCAGGCATTAGGAGGCCCTCATTCCCTGACAGAAGGAAGAGTCAGTGGAAAAGGAAGAGGGTAATAGCTGTGTCTACACCTCCTTCTCATGCTGGTTGACCTCCCTGGGCCCCTTGCCTGGCCTTAGCCAGTGCCCTTGAGAATCGGGAGTTTCTCCAGATATCTCCAGGTATCTCCAGAAAAAGCTGCCCTTTATTAGGACCACTGAGGGCCGCCCTTCCCAGATTGTTGTTACCCATTGTTTTCTAGTTGTCAAATTTTGTTGTTTTCTATTGCTGTTATAACAAATTAACATAGACTTTAGTGACTTCAAACAACACAAATTGATTACCTTATAGTTTTTTCCTTCAGAAATCCAATATGATTGTCTTGAACTAAAATCAGTGTGTCAGTAGGGCCAGATACTTCTGGAAGTGGTAGGGGAGATTGCTCTGCTGCCCTTTGTGGCCTCCAGAGGCTGTCTACATTCCATGGCTTGTGCCTTTCCTCCTGTTTTCAACGTCAGGTTTGTCTTACATCACACTACTCTGACTTTGCTCTGACCTTCTACTGCCATCTTCTATTTGAAAGTCCCCTTTGATTACATTGTGCACTTTGTTGTATACCTGAACACTATGAATACTCTCCCTATATTTAAAAACTATTTTTTAGGGCTGGGGTTGTGGCTCAGCAGTAGAGCACTCGCCTCTCACGTGCAAGGCCCTGGGTTTGATCCTCAGCACCATATAAAAATAAATGAATAAAATAAAGACATTGTGTCCAACTAAAAAATAAATATTAAAAAAAACTATTTTTTAAATCTTTGTTTGTTTTTGTGATAACTACAGATTCAACCCAGATTCTTACACATGCAAGGCAAGTGCTCTACCACTGAGTTACACCTCCTGCCTTCTTCCTATCTGAAATACAGCTGATAAGCAGCCTTAATTCCATTGACATCCATCATCCCCTACCCTTGCTAGGTAACATGACATATTCACAGGTTCCAGGGATTAGGATGTAAACATCTATGTGGACCATTATTCTGCCTATTATGCATGTAAGCCTGCCCATCCATTTGAGGTAGTAGCTCCATGAGAGCTCCACAGCTCTCTTCTCAGGTATTAAAGAAAAGGAGCTTGTTTTCTAGGTAGCTTTCTTGGTTCCTAGAAGAGAAGATCACTGGACTTGAGAAGTAAGCCACACTTACATGTCTGGGAACGAGCAGATTTGGGTAATACATGTTGTTTGCAATCTGATGACCAGACTGCTCTCTCCCTGAAAATGAGGTCCACAGTGCATGTGGGCTTTGCTGCCCACCCCATTCTTTCCGGAAGCCTCCTTTTGCTTCCTATTCCTGTAACTTATTCTGAGGAAATAATTCATTGAAACCAAAACCTGTATACATGAGGTTCTATAGTACAGTACACATTGGCCACACCTATCATGTTGTCCTTTAAAGACAGGACTCTGAGGAGCGTTTCAGAGACTCAAGGGAAACAGAAATGAACAAACAAACAGGTGCGTGTGCACTCATCCGAGCTATGGTTTCATGTGATCCAGCACACAGGAGGCAGTATGTCAACGCAGGATCATGGGCACTTTTTTCTCTTTTCACTGTGGTTTGGAACTTTCTTATTTTAGCAGTGAGATTGAAACAAAAGGCAGCAGCAGCTCAGGTGTGCAGCAGAAACTCAGAAAGGAGGCAGATGGAAAAAAAAAAGCATTTCCTCTTTTGTCAGTCATTCACAGCTTAATAGCAAATAGAGTGAGCACACTCAAAGCAAGTGGGTATCCTTTTGACACAGTATGTAAATGGTGCCACTTGCTCCGCTGACTTTCAGACACACCAGTCTCAATTCAGAGACATTTCCCAATGGTACATGCTGTCTCCATATCCCTAGTCTTTCTTATTGAAGCTAATATTTTCATCTGCTCTTTTAAAGAACTTTTCTCAAGAAGGTCAGGTGGTTTATTGGAAGCATTGCAAAACTCCATTTTCAGCCTGGGGAAGAGGCTCTAATGTCCTGCAGAAAAGGTGAAAACAGGCAGGAAGGACTCCAAAGAGGTGGCTGATGAGTTTCTACAGGCTTTCTGCCACCCTTCTCTGTTGTTTTCCAGAAAAGGGAACAGACTGGTATTCTGTCCATTACAGCTATATAAAGGCATTCTCTTGCGCTTCCCCTGAGTACAGTTGGCATGCCTGGGCAAGACCGGGGGCCTGGGGCATTGATGCCTGGACAGGGATTGCCAGGGAAACAGTAGATTCAAATGAGAAGCTGGAAATTTCTCTTTGGGCCAAATTCTCTTCTCAAAGTCTAGATTTTGCCTCTCCTGAAATGTTACTCTCTTTCCTCCTGTTCTGGCCAGTGATATTTGGACAGAGCTTTCAGGGCAACCTGGTGGCCTTCCTCACACCCCACTGTCCCCAGGTCTGCAACTTTGGGGAGACTCCTAGGGGCCCTTCCCTGGGATATGCATATCAGAAGATCATTTCCTAGAAGGACTGTCAGGTCCTCCACCCTTCATCGAGTCCCTTTTGAAGCATTCTAGGGGCATTTCAGGGCCTGAGTGTCCCTCAGTGTGAACTGTTGGGCCCTTTAGTTTCTCAGTCATGGTGACGAATGGGATCAAAGATCAGCCCTCATCACAGTCTCTCAAACCTGAGCTCATTTCCTTGGCCTTGAAGGCTTCTCTCTTCTCTTGTCCTTAGCCAGAGTGTTTGGAAGTCACCCATTTGAGACAGTGGAATCTGAATTCCTCCCAGGTCAGATTTCTGCTGAGGCAGTGGAGATGGCCAGGAAGTGGGTGGGACAAGGCATAGGAGGTAAAAAGTAGTGGACAAACAAAGAGGTCAGTTGCTGCCTTTATGACGTCAGTCTGCTCGTGGGCAGAGGAAAAGGAAGGATAGAACTGGCCACTGGAAAAATCAACAATGGACAGTAATAGCAGTCTTGCTTCACATAGCTTCTGCTGCCAGCAGACAGAGAGCCAGCCTGTCTGAGCTCCAGCCGTGAGCACTCACTAACTTTAGGGCCTTTCAGTCCTATCTTAGAATCTTTTGAAAGGAATACCAATTTAGTATGTCCAAATTAGGAATTCTCAGATTTTACTTAAAATATTGCATTTATCTGTTAGGAATAAGGTGATTTTTTAGGACCTTGGTGGGGGGCTCACTATAAATCTCTGGAACTAAGGTTTAGGGTGTGGCTGGGAATGTGAGGGCTCAGGAAGAGCTGTAGGGGAATTGGCTAGGGGGTTATCTCACTCGGATGCTGGGCCTGTGTGACTGAGCACCCACCTGTCCCTGCAGGAGACCCTCTGCAATGTGGGGCCTGGTTTGGGCAGTGTGCCCTTTACATCGTGATCATGATCTTTGAAAAGTCCGTCGTCTTCATCGTCCTTCTTATACTTCAGTGGAAAAAGGTTTGCCTCCCATCCCCACTCCAGCAGTCCTTGCTCAGTACTTCATCCCACTACCCACATGCTGCAGCCCTGTTAGAAAGCTAAATTTTTGTTTTAACTCCATGAGCAGATCCCAGATTTGGTCTGATATGGCAACTCTTCATAAGATTATTAAGTTGTCATTCTTTTATGTGGCATCTGTCCTCTCCATGGATATAGGGTCTACTCTAGATTAAGCCTGGGGATATAGTCTTCAGACCCTGCAACTCTAAGTGTCTCCGCGTTTCCAAATGTCATCCTCACACATCTGTCTTGGCTAGCCATTTGGCACCACAGACAGCTTTCATGACCTGTGTCTCCCATCCTGCCAATACCCTGGTGAGACCACGGGTTCCCCTGGCTCTGGCCTTTGGTGCTGCATAGATAAGCTGACCCCAGTGCTGCCCCCAGTGCTGTATAGATAAGCTCATCCCTATGCAAAACCACCTGAGTCTTCCAGAACAAGTGGCTCAACTCTTGGCTGTAGCTGGGTCTTATTTTTAGGAAATAGGCCAGGGCATTTCAAAGCCGTTGTCTTGAGGGAGGTGGTTAGAGTACAAGATTTCTGCTAGAAGGAGGTTTGACACCTGGTTGCTCATGTCTCTAATGAGCATCTGCTGAATTTCAATTTCCTCCCTCCAGTTCTCAAGAGCCTGCATTCCCTGCTGGAGGCTTGGGGCCCTCTCCACTCTGTTTGGGCACTGCTTGGCTCTGGTTCAGTGGTTGTAAACACACTGCACTTTGCAAGTTCACAACAAGGGGAGAGCTGTGAAAGCACTAATGCTCAATACAGGGTCCCTTATTTACAGTCAGATCTGGGGTTCTGCAGCCAAGGGAGTGAGGGCTGTCTTATCACTCTGGGGGAATGCCTAAGCTAAGCCCCCTAACAGGGGTTCCTGGGCCCTGTCCCTGTGGTCTCCCACCTCACTGCATCTGTTTCTCTTTACAGGTGGCCCTACTGAATCCCATTGAAAACCCAGACCTGAAACTGGCCATCGTCATGCTGATCGTCCCCTTCTTTGTCAATGTCAGTGCCATGTTGCATGTTTTACACTGCTTTGTGCCCTGCCTTCCAGGGTTCCTGTTCAGAGTCCTGAGTCTGATGGAAAACTCAGAGCCCTCAGATCTTTCTTTCTGTGTGACCAGTTGTCACATCCCCACTCCCCTCCCCAAGACCTGGAAATGGCAGGATTGCTTCTTCAAAAGGCAGGTCTCTGCTCCAGGGCCCCTGTCCAAGATGAAGGGTCCTAGGAAAGTTGTCCTTGCCCTCTCTGCTAGGGATCTACCATGGAGGCATCCCACCCCATGTGTGACACCAGCTTCTAGGTCAAGATCATTCAAGCTGGACTCAGTGGCACATAATTGTAATCTCAGCAACCTAGTGAGAGCCCGTTTCAAGGGTGAGGGGTGCTCAGGATGTGGCTCAGTGGTAGAACACTTGCCCAATACGTGTGATGCCTTAGGTTTGATCCCCAGCACCACTAAAAAATATATGTATATATCACTTCAAATGTGCCTCAATTGTTTATTCCTGAGGACAGTCCTCAGAAACTCACATGCACAGTGGTTAAAAGCCAGGAAATAGTGAGAGGAACAATAAAAGGACCTGGACACACAGATACACAGAATATGCTGTCACCACACAGGGGCTCTACAGGCCCAGAGCAGGTATCCAGGGACTTTGGTTCTGGGCCCAAGACAGGCTGCCAGTCCCAAGAGAAACCCCTTGGTGAGCAGGACAGGGATTTTCTTCCCTGTTCTCTGATGAGAAAACTGCAGAAAAGGAAATAAGGTCTGGGAATCTCTCTCAAAGCATCTAGAAGATTGCAGGAGGGCTGGATTCTCTTTCCCTGTCTTTGGATTTTGTAACCTGGAATGGGCTGAGAAAGGGTGGAAATGGGGACTGCGATTGCTCTGCTTTCCTTGAAAGTGGCTTCTCCCAAAGTAACCTGCATTTCTCTTCCCACAGGCATTGATGTTTTGGGTAGTGGACAATTTCCTCATGAGAAAAGGAAAGACGAAAGCTAAACTAGAAGAGAGAGGAGCCAACCAGGACTCAAGGAATGGGAGTAAGGTCCGCTACCGAAGGGCGGCATCTCACGAGGAGTCGGAGTCTGAGGTAGGGGCCTCCCTGACCCTCTCTGAGTACCTGGTCATTATGCCACTGGCCTGCAGGTCTCTGGTCTAATGTTTGCATTTGGTCTTCTCTTGGGTACTGAGTCACAGCACCAACCAGAGGGAGGGAGAAGAAGCTGAGCGAAGAGCAGCCCAGGTCACACACCATTCCCATCTAGCCAGGCCCCAGGACTGCTGTCCCACATGCCTTCCTAGGGAGGAGGGTAGACTATGTGGTGGGGGTGGCTTACCACCAACAGTCTCCCTGTCAGTGAAGAAAGGCAAGGGAGGAACTGCCTAGTTCCAGGGAAGCTGGCAAGGACCCTCCTGGGCCTCATGGTTGACCTTCAGGCAGTAAGGTATTGAATCCCTGCCCACCACTGACAAGCAAGGAAAGCGTTGGCCAAGCCAGCTGGAAACTTCTAAAATACAGGAGTAGCCAGACCTCTCAGGCAACCCCATCTGCCCTTATTTCCTAGTCTCCAAAGTTCAAAGTTTTGAGCTTCAGGGAAGAGCAGTGGTCATGAACAGCAGCAGAGAGGCAATAACTTATGTCTGGCAGCCACTCAGGGGCTGTGCGCCACACATCTAAGGTGAAGCTGTCTCAGGAGAGGCCCTGGGAAACTTGCATGGCGTGCTAAGCACCGTGCCACCAGGAGAGCCACAGAAATGATCCAGACAGAGTAACACACAAATGGCTCATCCTGGCATTTGCAAAGCCTTCTGAAGCCCAGACAAACAAAACCCTGTGAGGACCCTGGGGCAGTAGGCAGGGAGTTCTGGAAGATGGATAGGGAGTAGGACAGAAAGTAAGCCCGTGCCTTCTCTGGGTACATATTCCTAGAATCTGGCACAGAGCTTGTCACATTGTAAGAGCTTGGTAAACATTTGAATGACAAACAGCATTATGGGCACCAGAACTCAAGGAATGGGAGCAAGGTCTGCTACCGAAGGGCGGCATCCCACGAGGAGTTGGAGTCTGAGGTAGGGGCCAGCATGGTGGGCCAGCATGTCTTATTGTGTAAGGGGGTCTCCCTGTCACTGTCTTCCACAGAAGCACAGATGCAATAGCTGGCGGGCATTCAGTCAAGTCATTTGGCATCTGGATAATAATGTGAAATTCACTGTGGCCAGAGCAGCATTTATTCCAGAGTGTACAATGGAATGTCAAGCAGTGTGAGGTACAGGCGAGATGTGAGCCAGATGAGCAGGTGCTTTGTGCTGCAGGCTGAGGACCTGGGACATGCTTGTATAAGCAGTAGGGAGCCAGTGAGGGTTTAATCAGGGAACCGAGATTGGAAGCAGAGAGCCCTCAAGGGTTCAGTCCAGGGGAGAATTGGTGAGACTACCCTGTCCCTGGAGTAGGAAGTCATGTTCCCCTGCAGCTTTTCAGTTTGCTTCTCCTGTATTTAAGGCAACGTCAAGGCCCTAGGACTCCGTGCGTCAAGGCTGAGCTTCTTATTGCCAGCATGACCCTGGGCTTCAGGTCTCTGCTGAGGTGTGGTTGGTTTGGGTGCAGCTGGAGTTAGATGGGGAAATGAGGAGCACTGGCATAGAGGCCGGGGGAGGGGGGGTGTCTGTGGACTCAGTGCTGGTTTCGGTGGGCCAGCATGTCTTATTGTGTAAGGGGGCCTCCCTGTCACCATCTTCCACAGAAGCACAAGACTTGAGGCCTCCTGGCAGGGCCTGGGGTCCAGGGAGGGCAAACGCAGAAGGGCTGCTGCCACGTCTCAGCCGTGCCTCTCCGCTGCCCAGATCCTGATCTCGGCCGATGATGAGATGGAGGAGTCCGACGTGGAGGAGGACCTCCGCAGACTGACCCCACTCAAGCCTATGAAGAAAAAGAAGCACCGCTTCGGGCTGCCTGTATGACACATTCCATGCTGGGGGTGACAAGTTTGGGGCCAGCCAGCTGCTGGGTCAGCAGGTGGTCACCCCGCAGCATCATCCCTTCCCTCCTCTCTCTGCCCCTCCTCTTCTACCTCCACTCCTCTCGCTGTCTCTGCCCACTCTCTGCCCACCCCCAGACTACTGTGACTTAAAAAGAGGGAACAGGAACCAGCACCCAAGTGGGCCGTGGGCAGCTGGAGGTCCCCGCCCAGTTGCACTACAAACACTGACCAAATATGCAAGCAAAGAGCTTTGTTTGTTTGTTGTTGTCTTGCACAGTGTTGTGAGGGACCCCAAAGCCCCTGTCCTGTGTCTGACCAGGTGGTGAGGTACAGGAAAAAACAGGCCCACACAGGCCCACACAGACCGCGGGTGGGTCTCTCCCCAAGGCTGCAGGCAGCGAGGACACATGACGTGCTTGGGGCTAAAGTCACTCACTGACCAAGTTGGAACCGGAATGCTTTCTTACTCAAAATGGCTTTTGTAACTCTTGATTTCTAAAGCCGGTTTTATGAGCTATGACAGTGTTAACTGTTTTTTGAGTATGTGTTTATTTCCTACAAAGTACCTATGGGACTAATGGGCAAAACCTAGATTTTTAAGTCTTCCGTATGCTGTTTGACTTTTATATTTTTAAGTTATATTTTCATACTATTGTATTTAAAAACTCTTTTTAATCCCCAAAGAAATGGATTTGTTTGCCTTTCATGGGGTATGAGCTGTGGGAGGAAGAAGTCAAGAGTTTTTCTACTTGGGATATTGTTAAGTAATGTCCTACAATGAGGCAAGTGACCCCAGTGGGCAAGGTGGACGGCCTTTGCCTGGAATCAGAACCCGTGGTTGTGGAAGGTCAGGTCTGTGCATGAGGCAGCTGGTCTGAAGGTGGATCTGCGTGCCCCAGAGTGTGTGGAACAGGAGGGGATCTGCCAGGACCCCAGTCACTTCTGCTGGCAGGTTAGAGGTCTTGGTTTAACTGGTAAAGGAGCCTAAGAGTTAGGTTTTTGTGTCCAGAGGAATCAAGAGCATGGGCTGCTCGTGTTTGTTCCCTGCCTCTCCCCTCAAGTGTAAAATAGTCCCAGCCTCTTAGCCTCTACTACAGCAGCCTGCAGAGTCAATCCTCTTCTGGTGCCTGTCACCTGCTGTTATCTGCTCATTTTACATGGAAGTCTGGAGAACATCCACACGGCCAGACGAGCCTGTTTTCAGTCCCCCCTTCCCCACTCTGCAGAGCATGGAGGCTGGGGTGGGCAGGTAGAGGTGAGACAACCTGCTGTCTAAATCCAGAGGCTGCAGCCCCTCCTCACATGGTAGCACCTGCTCTTCAGCCTGGCCACAGGCCCCTGTGGCTCGGAGAGTTTGCTGAATAGAGGTGGAGCTGGCTGAGCCCAGCACTTTCCTGCTGTGGAAGCAGCAGGGTGGAGTTGCCCAGTGGTTTGTCATGCCAAGAGGCAGCCACAGATCCTTAGGAACAGAAAACTATAATGAAACAAAAAACTATAAAACAAAAAACTATAAAAACGCTATAATGCGGGCTACAAGTGAGACAAGCGCAGAGGCCATTCCACTCAGAACCATCTTTTTAAACCTGTGTAAAAACATGTTCCTCTTCAACATAATGGGTCTGAATATGTTTGTGGTATGTAAGCCAGACTGTTGAACCAGGCACCTGGAACTGTCGTCTGCTGCTGCTTGTGGTCCTGCCTGTCTTGGACATGGTGGAATAGCTTAGGGAGGCCCTCTCAGCCCCTCTTCCTCCAGGAATGCGGAATCACTGTGAGGAGCAGGGACTGTAGCTGTGCAGTAGGAGGTGACTCCACCAGTGTGGGGATCGCTGCCAGAGGAGGGGACAGGCTGGCAGTGAGCGAGATGGAGCCTGCGCAGGTCCCACAATGCTCCTGCTCTCATTCACTCTCTTTGGTTCCTCCCATTCCATAACTGTGGTCTTTCCCTACCACATCTCCACGTCTCCAGTGGGGGCTCTCTTGGGTTGCCCATCCCCAGACTACTGTGACTGGCAAGACCCAAGACTGGCATTTCTGGGGAGACTGTCACTCAGAGTTCAAGCTTCATGTTCAGTCTTGAGTTCCCAGTGTTTCCAAACCAGGTTCAGGGGTAGGGGACCACTGTCTGTAAAAGAAGGAAACTTGGGGTTGTGTACACCTCAGAGGACCTCATATCCAGGCTTGTCCCAGCATCCACTGAACAGTGAGCTTGAGGGACAGAGGTAGCAAGTGAGTGCTGGTGGTGTCCTGTGTCCTGATTGTTGTTAATAAGGGCTTGAGTCTCTGAGCTGCAGCTGTGTAACTGGTTGACAAGGGTGGAGGTCGAACAGGGAGTCTGTCTGATCCCAGGGGCCTCTTGGTGTGTGGGCTTGGACGGTGTGGCATCATCACATGTTAGGCCTTCCCATCCTCCTGTGCCCTGGGAGAGCCTCCAGCTCTCTAGTCACTGGGGCTCTTACATGGCACACTCTCCCATGAAAGCAACACAGAGAGCTGTGGTCAGGACTTCCTCCTGAGCTGTCCTCCCTCCCTGGGATGAGTTTCCTCACCACCTGCTCCGAGGTGCCTTACGAGGTGCAGCCCTTCACTGGCTAATGGCAGGCGTCACCGTGCTTGAGAAATGATGGGATACTGACGGAATATTGTATACGGTCAATCTGATTTGTCCAAATCTGAACCTTGGCCAAGCCACCCACAATGGAAGCTTGAAATCAAGGTCAGGAACAGGTTTCTTGTAACTATTGAAAATAAACCAATATGGCAGAACTGTGATCTGATTGGAAAAGGTGGTTGTTGCTGTTATTTCCTTTTGGCTGTTATTAGGACATTGACAATGGCAAGGGAGATGGTGATGAGATCCTGGGTGGCAATGGCTTCTCAGTCCACATAGCCTGAAGATGTGCAAGGTGAGGGTCTGTGGCCCCTCAGCCCTTGAGCACTGTGGTGGCCTCCTGCCACAACTTTCACTTGTGCCCTCCCTGGTAACAGGGAGTCTTAGGTTAATGTCACCTCTCATGCCTCTTTCTTCAGGGAACATAAAAAGGCTCAAATGCAAGTCATAACTTCTCTTCAGCAGTGTACCAGGGTCCACATCTGAAGGCTGGCCCAGGACCCTGAGGGAGCAGGGCTTGCTCAGCCCTCCGGACTGCACTTCAGTGACCTTTTTGCAGCAAGTCAAGACAGGTTGCCCTGGGGGCTTTCTGCTGGCCAGACAGAGCAGCCACTTCATAGGGCACAAGGCTGACTCTTAGAAGTTCCACACCCTTCCAGCTAAGAGGCAGAGCTCTGTTTTACCTTGTAAGACATTGAAAGCCCCAAGGGGCAATGCTTCTGGTGAGAGACTTTTGGTCTGACTTGCTTCGAGCACCTTGAGCTCCTGGGCAGGTGGGTGGGCAGGTCAGTTGGTTCATTGATTGGTTTGGTTGTTTTCAATTTGATTTTTCTTTTCATGAAGTTTACTAGAAGTCAGACCTATGTAAGCAGAACCGTGGCCACTTCAGCCGCCATCCCAGCAAGGGTGTTTCGTCAGTGGTGTTACAAGTCACAGAAATACAGTTTCAAAATGAAAGGGAAGATGATGTACTTATATTGTAAAATGGTTTACAATAAAGTTTGACATAACAGTTTTTTAAAAAAGAAACCATCACTTTTGTGGTTGTTGGTTGTGTGTTTTTCTGGGGTTGAAATAGCTTAATGGAGTTTAAAACAATGTCCCCAGTGGGTTAGAAGGCTCCCCAGGAAGCTGCAGGAGAAGGAACATCACATCGCCCCATGCAGCAGCGAAGCCAGTCTGCCAAGGAAAGAAATCAAACGTGCTCTTGCCGTGTCTACTTCCTTGTTAATGAGAGACTAAGCCACTCTACCTCCAGAGGAATGAGCCATGCTGGGAGGTGGTGTGAGGAGGGAGCACCCCACATCCTATCCCAGAGGCCATGGGCTGGGCAGAGCCAGCTGTGAGGCAGTGCTAAAGCCCCGGCTGGCACCCTGGTGCTGGTGGAAGGGCCCTCACCAGGCCTGGCGTGCCCTGCACTGCCCCTGGGAGTCCTGGCATTCCTCCTGTCAGCACTCATCTCAGCCTGAGCCTGGCCATCCTCACATTGGCCTCCTGGGAACCGAAACTAGAGTGGGGATTGGGGTGGGGTTAAGGTATGATACCAGTGGAGTGGCATTTGGAATAACCAAATGTCAGTGCCTGGTTGGGTTCCATCTGCTAGAGCCTTCAAGATAAAAATAATCTCCATTGCAAACAGGAAAGGAACTGGGGTGTGTCTGCTCTGGTGGGGATCGTCTCCACTCCCCACACCCACCCCAGGCTCAGAGCCCTGCCGTGTGGCCCTGGGGATCTTCCCCTACAAAGATGAGGGTGATGGAAACAGAGGAGAACCAAGTCACCTTGCAGGAGGTCCTTGAGCCTGTCCCCTGCACAGCTCAATACCTGGGGTGGGCTTCACTCCTTCTCAGGACTCTTGTAGCACTTAAGCTGTCCTGCTGGTCAGCCCCACCCCATCCCTATGACATATCCCAGACAGAGACTGCCCCTGGGACCCTCATGTCAAGCATTTTCTAGTCTTTCCTGGGCCCCCCTTCCCGCTGCCTTGCTTCTTCCCTTTCAGTTTAGAAGGAGAGCCAGTCTCCAAGGTCATGTGCCGGAACTGGGCAGAGGACGATGCTATCCACAAAAATCTGATGGAGCAGCCCCCCAGGGTCCCCTTGGCCTCAGTTTCCCCATCTGTGGGCCATCAGTGGCCCCTTGCTCTGAGTCTATCATGATGGCCCTGTGAGCTCACCCTAAGCAAATGCTTCCAAGCACCAGACACTGGAAACTTCTGCCCTGCTGCTGCTTGGGATAGAAAGTCACTTCCCACTAAAATCCACAGGAAGGAGCAGAAGAGAGAGAAAAACAAGCTCAGAGCATCCAACCCAGCTCAGGGCCCTCCCTCTCCTCACGGACAGCCCCCTACACTGGGATGGGCTATTGCAGACAGACAAGCCAAACTGTCACACACATTCCTAGACCCACATTCATAAACACAGCCAGTCGCCATTAGTGCCAGCACCTCCCACCTGCAAGTAGAGCAGCTGTTCCCAAGGGTGCAGGGTCTCCCCAGCTGTCTGCTTTCGCCAGGGCTGCTGTCCCCATCATGTCCGAGAATAAACTCTGAAGCTAGTGGCTGAGTGGACTTGAATCATCAGAGAGCCTGTCGGAGGTAGGGGAGTGACTTACAGGGACGAGCCAGCAGGCTATATAAGCTCCAGAGGGCCAGGCTCCACGCAGAGCTCTTGCCTCGCTGCTGTCTGCCAGAGGCACCTTCAGGGAGCCATCTCTTGCCCAGCACCCACCATGTCCCAGGTAGGAGGGCCCAGCATGGGCTGTGTTGGAACCAAAGGGAGTCAGGGTGGAGACCTGGACACCTCATCTTTGGCAGCTGTCTTGAGCTAAGATCCAAGGATAAACAGGAGGCACTATAGCCCTGGGGAGGCCAGGCCTGGGGAGGACGTCCCAGCTCCTGGCTTTGTTTATTCTCTAGTTTGTTAGGAGGGGTGGTGGGAGATGGGTGTGTCCCTTTATAGACCTCTACATGTCCCTTTGTGTGTGTGTGAGGGAGCTGCCTATATAGCCCAGTGTGTACAGTTGTGTGTATGTTTGTAGCTGTAGCCGTGCAGTGTGTGTGTGTGTGTGTGTGTATACACACACACTGGAGTCTATGCCTAGGTGTTCAGCTCTGTGTCCCTGTATTTCCCAAGCGGGGTGTATTCTTTATAGGGGCGGTGTTGTCCCGGGAGCCTAGCCCGGGCTGAGGGAGGGAATCCCTGCACCTGCCCCCAGGGCTTAGAAAGGAATAAGGCCTCAGACTCACAGGCGCCTGGGGTTGTAAGCAAGCATTGACTCTGAATGTCCCAGCACTGGAAGGGCACATAGTCTTAGCCTGCCAATGAGGGTTGTCCTTGTTGTCTGCTCCAAGGATGGGTGTCAAGTTTGAACTGTCACTTTGTGGACATCTGGACTGTCTACCCATTCCCTTACAAAGACATACTAAGTAAAAATACGGGTGCTTTTCTGGAGAGGGACAATCCCTAAGAGACCCCTTGCCATCCAATATCAGGTCTTGGAACTCAACAAATTTCCTGGGGCTGCTCAGCCTCAAAGCCAGTCCCTTTCTCCTGTGTCCTGTTCAGGAATAGGCAGACAGACCAGTATGAAGCTATGGTGGCCTCTGCCACCAGCAACTCCAAGTGTGTGAGGGAGAGCAGGTATGCAGGTCAGGCCAAGGGGGCTGGGAGACGCACGGGGCGGGGGTGTATCACTGTGACTTCTTGCAAGAGGAATGGGTCTTGAACCTGCTTGAGCTCAGTGAGCCAGGAAAGGGGTCTCTGCCTTGAGGCCTCAGAAAAAATTCAGCTCTGGGTTCTCCAAGGCTGGCGCTCCAGAAGCCCCCATCAAGAAGAAGCGTCCCCCTGTGAAGGAGGAAGATCTGAAGGGGGCCCGAGGGAACCTGGCCAAGAACCAGGCAATCAAGTCCAAGACCTACCAGGTCATGCGGGAGTGTGGTGAGTGTCCTCCAAGTGGGCTGCAATTTGATATGGGGTTGTGGTTGTTGTAGGGTGGGTATCAAGGGGTCTTTCCTGAGAATCCAGAGCTTCTGGGCTCAGAAGGGGCTGCTCTCAATACAAGGGGCCTTCCCTAGGAGGAAGCCAGGTCTGTTCCCTAACAGTACCTCCCTTACCTCCTTCCCACAGAGCAAGCTGGCTCAGTCGCCCCATCTGTGTTCAGCCGTGACCGCACAGGCACTGAGACTGTCTTTGAGAAGCCCAAAGCTGGACCTGCCAAGAGTGTCTTTGGCTGAGAAGTGCTCATCGCGCCCCCTCCACCCGGAGCACCTGGACACAGGAGCCTTTCCCACGAACTTTTTTTATGCCAGAATATGTCTTTCTTCCCAGCTGTCTTTGGGACCGCCGCCCTTGCCCCACAGCCCTGACCCTTTGCACCAGAACCTTGGAAACACCAATAAAGAGTATGCCCAAGTGGCCTCAGCATTAGGAGGTTGTTGGTTGATCACTGGCCATTGCTGCTACTAACTGCAGAGGAGAGTGAGGAATGGGAAAGGGCATGGGAATATGTCCTGTTCCCTTCCTGGGCTCTTAGGTGGGCCCCAAGGGATGAAGCAGGTGACATTAGGGCCACTGAGATATACTAGAAAGAATCTGGACTTAGAGACATGGTGCTCACCTTCTGTGTGACTTTAGACCAGCCTCTTCCCCTTTTTCTGATCCTGTTTCCCCTTGTATACAACAGGGGGGCTGAGCTATTCACATAAAGGAAGTCATAGCAACACCACTTACAGTGAAGTCATTGGAGACCTGGGGCTCTTCCCTTCCCCAATGGAATCCATTAAGATGCATCCAAGGACCCCAAGGCCTGTGGGGCATAGGTTCCAAAGCCCACTCCTCCTGTACCCTCTTCATGCTCCCTTATGATCCAAAGTCTCCTCAAAGAGAGAGCCTGGCCAAAGTTCCTCCCTGGCCAAAGTTCCTCCCTGGCCAGTGTCACGTAGTTTCCTAAGCTATTTCCTCCTCTTCCAAACAACAGGGTGAGCCTCCTCTTTTCTACTCCTCCCCCATGCTACCTGGAGCATGGGAACACCAGGATCTCAGCTGGAGTGTCCCCAGTGTGCATGGAACTATTAGATTCAAGGATAATCAAGGCCTGTCTAGCTGTGATGGCAGGATCATTGATAGGTTCCTCCTGGGACTGGACTGGCAGGGCCTGGGATCACAGTGCCTGACTCAAGGCTGATGCCACTGAGAAGCCCTTCCTGTCCCCTGAGCAGGGGGAGATGGCTGCTCAGAGCCTTTCCCACGTTCCAGACCAGCTTGGCCTCCTTATATAGCTTGGGCTCCAGCCTGTGTGTGCGAAGCCCTGTGCCCCAGGAGAGCAGATCTCTTGTGGGAACAGAGTCTGGGCTTTCTCACTGGGCCCCTTGGGGAGGCTCTTTCCCATATACCAAAGGGGTATGTCCCCCTGTGTAACCCCAATCCTATGCAGAGCCAAAAGGGTTAACGGTATGGATGTGCACAGAGGTGCGCTCTGGCCATAGCTGTGCTGAAAAAGAAGGAAGTTTTCCTTGCTGCCACAGAATTCACTCCCAAGTCTACGAAGCTTTCTCCAGGGCCAGATGCCATCCGCTTTGAGGAAGGGCTGATGGCAGAGACACTGCCCCAGCCCTCTGAAAGCCTCTTACTGCCCCAGGGCACTGTGTGGGCCCCATAGCAGCTGGTATCACTGAGTCACTGGTATCATTCTCTGACCCAGGACTGAGCACCTGGCCGGACTTTGATGATTCATTTTGACCCCTGTGTGTCCACAGACTCAGGAGCTGATCTCCCTAGAACCACCAGGGAACACACCAGCTGCATTCAGAGCACCTAATATTTGTTCAATTTTTATTGCTATTTATTATAAAAGCAGCACTTCGACTTTATTAAAGGTGGATTGAAAAAAAAATGAAAGACACTAAGAACCCCACCTAACCCACCCCTGGGGACTAGCTGCCTAACGGCCTTGGCAACGTCAGTGTTGTGCCCTCTCAGGCTCCCTGAGGACACCTGTCACCCTGCTCGTGCTCCGCTTCAGGAGCTCTCTATGCAGCTGGCTCTTGTGCCCGACTCAGTAGACTACCATGGGCCATGGGTTGTGCATCTCTTAGTGTTGGGAAAAGTATAAACGGCAGCCATACCCCAGAGAAAAAACCCCAACATGGCGCCTAAGCACCTCTTCTTCCTACCTTCTTCTTTCTGCAGTGGCGCGAAAAGTTCAAATCTCGCTGGCGGGGAACCTTAGCCCCAATGAGAACTAATTCCTGGGCTCTGGAGCTGATATCTGAAAGAACTTGCCAATAAACGGGTTGCCTACCATTTATCTAAACCCTACCATCTCCCCCCTTAGTTCTATATAAGCACACTGCTTTTTGCAATAAAATTGGAATTCTCCCAGCGAAGTGTCTTTGCGTGGGGAATTCTTTCACTTAGGCTCTTGGTGTGTGCTGTCGAATTTCAGGCCTTGTTTTGGGGCCCACCTGGGGTTGATCCTAGAACCCTGGCTAGATTAATGGAGCCCAAACAGCAGTCTGGGTCTCAGGAAGAAGAAGGGCTTATGGGCTCTGCACCTCCCATTCCAAAAATAAGGTGTACCCATTCTGCCTGGGCCTCTCACACACTTCTATAGGCCTCTTCAGGCTTCCAGGGCCACCACTTCCCAGCAGCACTTCCCAGGCCCCCATTACCCAGAAATCCACCTAAAATGGCCAGCTCCCTGTTTTCTCCCAGGATGGAGGTTATGGAAACTGTCCGCTCCTCTTCACTGTCACGTGCCCCAACACTATGAAACTTGGTGGGATGACTGGTTTGAGGGGTCATGGTACCTAGGGAGCTTCTGGACTTTTCAGAAGAGGTGCCAGCCCCAGGCAGTGGGACACACCTCTAATCCCAGCAACTCAGGAGGTGGAGGCAGGAGGATCACAAGTTGTAGGCCAGCCTCAGCAACTCAGCAGAACCCTGAGAAACTTAATGAGACCTTGTCTCAAAATAAAAATAATAAAAATAAAAAGGGTGTAGTTTAGTGGTAAATGCACTCCTGGGTTCAATCCTCAGAACCAAAAAAAAAAAAAGAAGAAGAAGAAGAGGTCCCAGGGACTGGGGGGTATACATCAGTGGTAGAGCACTTGCTAGCATGTACAAGGCCCTGCGTTCAATCCCCAGTACTTCAAATAAACAAATAAAAATTTTAAAAGAAAGAAAGAAAGAAAAAGAAACCCAATTTAAAAGCTGCGGGTGATAGCAAATACTTGTAATCCCAGCTAATGGGGAGTCTTTGAGATGGAGCTGCCCAAGAAAACCTTCATCACCAACTTCTCCATGCAGGTGCCTTCCTACCCTCCTCCCTGTCCCATAATCCAGAATTGCAAGTTCAAGGCCAGCCTGGGTAACTTAGCAAGACCCTGTGTCAAAATAAAAAACAAAAAGGGCCAGAGCTATGTAGCTCAGTGGTAGAGGAAAAAAGAAGGGGCACCAATACCCAACTCCACCCTGAGCCTTTCCTCAGGATATGTTCTGCCCCCAGCCAAAGTTCACTGGACATTGGTCATTTGCCTGCTTATCTGAGGCCTCTGGGGGTTTTGGCTTATAGATCCCAATTTCCCAGAACCTGCCCCCGCAGGGGCGGAGCAATGAGCAGTTACTAATTTATTTCCCATCTGCTCTCAGGTTCAGAAGCAGCCTGGCAGGCAGGCACTGGAGCCAAAATGAAGGTCCCAGTCCCTGCCCACATCGGCAGCATCGTGCTAGTCTTGCCCTTGCTGCTGGCTGTCCTTCAGACTGCCACGGCCCAAAAGGTAGGGGGTCCTCATGGGTGCCTGGGGGTGCGGGAGGGATGCATATGAGCTGGGGAAAGAGAAAACATGACTGCAAAGTGGGAGAGAACCTCTGAGCATGCAAGCATCTAAGTAAGAGTGTGGGTCTGTGTGTGTGTGCAAAGAAACAGTGCTGACCATCCACCAGCTCTACCCCCAGGGCCTTGTGGGTATCCCCACCCCCACTTAATAGAAAGGATGATCCTATTATTTCCCTTTTACAGATGAGGGAATATGGTGTAACCAGTTGCTCCTAGGGACCCCTAGTGGAGCTGGGTAGGGAGGGATGCAGCTTTACCAGCCCAGCTCTTCCTTTCCCTGGTTGAACGACCCTCAGGGAAGTTCTTTTTGCTTTCCTCTGCAGATTCCTCATCTGTAAAACAGGGTATTAACAGATTCTATTCAGATGATTGTTGTGTAAACTGAGCTCCTAATAGCTGTAAAGTGTTCTGTAGTGTGCAGGGCACAAAGCTAACAGGCTGTCAATGAGCCACTTGGCACTTCTGTGCTAAAACACGCACATGTGTAGCCATATGCAGCTGAGCAGCACTGGTGTGTTCATGAGCATGGTACACACAGGGAAATGTGAGGCTCTGCATGTGTGCACATGTGTCGTTTCTTGGGGTGCTGCCCCACCTGCTTGCTGTTTGTTCCCTCTGGGGTGCTGTAGGCCTCCATAGAACAAGATGGACATGGTCCCTGCCCATGGTGCTATAGGGTGGGGAATGAAGCTTGCAGCTGTCTCTTATTCTCTATGCATGTTCATATGTGAAATATCTCCCTGAGTTTGGCCTGAGGCCTGATCAGCAAGTTGGTTAGGCTAGAAGCAGAGGTTGGTCTGAAGCCAGGGTCAAGGCTCACTCTCAAAGTGTTGCCTAAATGAGTGGCACTGAAACGCTCTGACCTACTTTCCCTTTGCTGATCCAGAATGGCATCCAAATCTACAGCCTCACCGTGGACTCCAAGGTCTCTTCTCGATTTGCCCATACGGTCGTCACCAGCCGGGTAGTGAACAGGGCTGAGGAAGCGCAGGAGGCCATCTTTGAGATGGAGCTGCCCAAGAAAGCCTTCATCACCAACTTCTCCATGTAGGTGCCTTCCTACCCTCCTCCCTGTCCCACAACCCAGCACTGCTACTCCATCTCCTCTGGGCCCCAGGACATCCTCTTCCAGAAGCCAGCCACTCCAGGATATGCATGATCCACCTGCGGGCCTCACAGCGGGCAGGGGCTTTGTCAAGGAGCTCACTGTTCCTGGATGTGATCTGTCTCTCCTGCCATCTAGTCCTCCTCTTCAAGTGCTGCCTGGGTAGCAGGCTGAGGACCCCTGGCATTTTTGTGTCTTTGCCTTTGAAGAATGCAAGCTTGGGGCATCCTGAGCCAGAACCAGGCAGGAGGGAGTCACCAAAAGCAGATTCCAGAATAGAGAGATCTTCCTTACCCCTTGGGCTGCCCACCATGGAGAGTAAAGTTAAAGAGGGGTATTGCAGGAAACTGTCCGCTGTTCTACCTCAGAAGAGGTCTGGGCTTCCTACAGAGGGTTGGTGACAATCCTCACTTTGTCCTCTGCTCTCCTCCCCACCCTTCCCAACACAGTTTTGCAATGTTTGCTAAACTCAGCAAAACTTCTCTCCGTCCTGGCCTCTGGGAAAAGCAGTGGTTGAGGACAGGAGAGAGGCTCCTCCCAGAAAGAGGGAGAGCTGGGCGGAGCAGAGAGGGAGGGGGCGGGACCTCTGTGGTTGGCTCCTCCCTCTCCCTGCCCATGCAGCCCAAGTTTTCCTACCCTGGATCTTGCATCAGGAGCCCTGCAGGCTGTGCCAGGCTCCAATGAGCCAAGATCATCCCATCTGCTGAGAGCCCAGGATTGGCACCACCTCTTTTTGGCCTCAGATTTTGTGCCTGTATTTGATAGGGAAGTACAGGGCAGCGTTCCCTGCTCCCTGACCTGGTCAGGAGGAGCCAAGTTCCTCATGCCATGGCCCAGAGTTCCATTATAAACAAGAAAAGCGGGGAAGTGGGAGGGGGATGCCCGCTCCATGCATCCAGCTGCCCTCTCCCTTGCAACCCCCACA